AGAGGTTAGATGCAACAAGGCTCGAATACTGATTGATAAAGAAAAGTAAAATACATACGATCTTAGCCTGCAAACCATTCAATGCATGGGTACGCGTATGATGTTCTCAGAGTCAATATCACAAGAGATTCTAGAGTCGCAATATGCATCTAACTCCTGTGCGAGTCAAACCTCTACACACTTGACTCATGTCTGAGGAGGAAGTGGGCTGAGGTACTCGAACGACTCGCGAGCACTTGGGGCACGCTGTGAGCTTCCATTGAACAAGAAAATAGTTGTTGTTATTGTCGGCCTGTTTGTCGCTCAAGAACTTTGCTAACATTTAGGATATTCTTGGCATACATGAATGCATTGCATAGCGGACTACGTGGTAGGCATCATATCGGACGTCACTGAAAGTGTTTTGTACCGTATTCAACAGATTGGTAGGTATGACAGGCGTGTTCGTTTCGACAACAATTGCACGGTAAACTGAAAATAGGCCCGACGGCTTAAAGTTTGAGAATGTGTTATAGCTTATGCAGACTAGAATAGCATAGCGTAATTGCCTAACTGGTCATCTCTCGTCACAGAAACCCAAATGATCACGAGCTACGACCATTTTTCCGCATTACGAATGTCGCGAAAAACATTTTGCAAATTTAGTAAGTATTATTACTTTATAAAGCAACGTACGCACGCAAAACATCGTTTCAGATTTTTTAAACTCCTATATAAAATGGGCGCAATTTGTTACTAAAGGCTGCAGTTGGAAGGCCGTTTGTATATGGTTGTTACTGATCGGTTTCATTCGTCTCAGGAATCCCATACAATGGTAAGAAATGTTTAATTACAACACACACTCATAAACTAGAAACGCAGCTTAGAGAGTCATTGAGTGCCAAGAGAGCACACATTCATGTAACACGTACCAGATAGAATTGCTTGAAATACCATAAAGGTCACGCTTATAACCATCTTTTATCAGTTCTAACTTCAGAACTATCAGATATAATACATTTGTGCCAATATAGGCATACTACCGAAGACTGCGGTTATGTTGGACGCTATTGCTTTTTGCTATTTCTTTCGTACACGAAAGCTACTTGGATGATCTATACAGGGCTCAGACAAGATTAAATCAATGAGTCAGCTAATGCAGATGGAAGCTGCATTACGATCCAATAGGCGGTATTGCTCTTTACAAGTCAAGCCACTGTTTAGAACCAGTATCTGTGTGGATGTCCGATTTCATTCATTGTTGCACGAGGACTACGTGCCCGAACCTCAAGTACACTCTTTCTCGGACAAAATACATGTACATTTGGTTTTTTCTGACTTTCCAAGAGCTTTCTTTCATTTTCTCTCCTCTCTCTGTCTCTCCCTCTTTGGTTTTTTATAGCCTTAACGTGCGGACGCCTACCTTTTAGCAGAGTGCAAGCTCAATCCACGCCTGCATTCTCCTGATTGCTATAGGAGCCATTCCTCAAGAAAAACCTTTACTCCGCTGAACGGCGCCCGACCCGGCTAGCTAATCAAGTGACCCTTTGCTGTCCTTGAGCAGCTGGACCAAAAACCTAAGAGACAGCCGAACCTAGCTTTCTCCTAAAAGCTGCAACCCTTAAGCGACACGGCGTGCCTCTTAGGCATGCTAAGGGACGTATACGTACACATGAGGAAATTGCGTTTAGGGTAGACTCGAAATGGCAGCGTTCACACAGGCGAACATCTAATTTGCTGCAAGCACATATAGTGATACATCTCCTCGACAATACGCAGAGGCTGGATCATTTTGTCTAGTAATTGATGCTGGTCGTGAACTCGTGGCAAATGACATACTTAGGGCATCGCTTTCGCAGAAGTTGCTGATAAATATAGGTCCTCGAAATTGTTGAAATATTACCATCATTTATAGCTAACCTACAGGTGCAAAGGTCAGCAAGGTGCTCTGGAGTTTTTTTTGGTATAGTGTGCTTGAGAATTGAAATAAGTGACAATCAAATGAATTATTAAGCATACTTATGAGCAAACACTTTTCTGGGACATGGTTTTTGCGTGCCGTATATAAAACAGCATGTAGTCGATAAACAAAAAATATTCCTTTTAAGGCCAAGAATGAGCAGGTCAGTATGTGCCTATCGGCTCGTTTGTTCAACAGATAACATCAACCATTCGCTTCTATATGTGAAAAAACGACATTTAACTATGGCAGCAATAATATAATTTATGTGCGTTTACAGTTAACTTGGCCAGCTATTTTTTTGATATTACGTTTGTTCCGTTAACACATATTCTATGGTTCTTTTGGGAAGGTACGGTTGCACTTGTCATAGCCTCAACATCTAGCCCAGGAATGCTTCAAACGACCTCCCAGGCATAATAGTTATTTGTGCTGGTCTCTAGCCCCGGATGTAAGCCATGGCTTTTTGCGGAACCTGATGTCTGTTTGTAGTATAGTAATTTCATCGGCAACATTTATTAGCAAGCAAACAGAGAGACTAAAGCCGTTTCTGACAGGTTTGATAACTTCGAATATTCTGTGAATATATGAGTCGAATATTTTGCGAAACATAAGGAGAAATTGAATAGTTGAGCGGCTTAAAGTGAAGCTATTGCAGGAGGCCCAGGCAGAGGGCGCATCCTGATCTTCAAATCCGGCTTCTCGTATGTCTTAGACAAACTGAATCGTACAGGTTTTTACGTGTAGATTCGATAACGATTTCATTGAAAAACTTCAATTCGATCGGTGAAAAACCGCTCATCTACGGCTGATACTTAATAGTTTATTGACTATTACCTGAGAGCAGCTCTTCGTATCTATCTTTATTAAGAAAGGTCGATACTGGGTAGTTTTGCTTTGCCGAGAAGTTAATACTCGTGCACAGCTCATTACAAACACACGCTAGCTAGTATATATGTATATATAGCAGGTACACCTGGATTTGTGTGATTAAAACAAACTTTCGCCTACTATTCACTGGGCCGTTTCCAAATATATAGGACTTCAAGGGACAATAACGTCATAGGTTTGTTTTCTTTCGACCTTCAGTGGCACATTTACAGTATGTATGCATGTACGTCCATATTTATGCAAATATGGCAAGGAAAAGAAATCTGTGTTCTTACATTTTTAAAGAAAAATCCACAGCAGGATCCGTTACATGACGACAGAGTCGCTTTACCGATTGGCCAAGCGGTCTGCGGACCCTAGAATGTCCGTTCTGTAGCCCGCTATCGTTGAGGATAGCGGGCAACGGGACCAAGCTGCCCTGGGCTAGGCAAACCAGCTGGTGACCAGACATTCCTCTCGCCCCTTGCGGGATAGTCGCAGAACAGTAGGCAGCATAGAGAAGAGAGCTTTTCGGAAAATGGCAGAAGTAAAAAGCAAAAAGGAAACGACGGCCTGTTCTGCTCACCGACCGATCGAGCATTATCACACCGGCCATGATTGTGTATTCCTGACTCAAATCGGAATGGGGAACATGAGTCTGGAAGTTTGCGTTATTCGAAAACAAAAAAGATGACAACAATCCGAAGCACCTCAACAAGGGATGCGGTTTACCGTGGTTAGACGCAACTATTTGTTGTTAGTTTGTCTGCCTGGTTGCTGCCTAAGACTATGCACCCTTGAGGCGGCAGGGATGTTAACAAGGGCTGGATACCAGGAGAGCGTACTGTTAGCTCGGGGGAAAAAGAGGTAGATGAGACAATACTACTACTATTGCGCTTCATAGCCTCGGCCTGGTGAAGACATGGCTAGCTTACTAGCCAGCGAAACTAGTTTCTACGTTGCCGTCGTCGCTGCTTGTCAGAGACATTCCACGAAAGTTCCGCGTGCAGCAACAGAGTTCGCAGTGTTCCTTCTCCACTTCAGTTTCCTCTTCTTTGACAGAAAAAAAAAACTCTTGACGACAAAAGCGAATTGCTGCTGGCGTCCTTTAGAGAGCCAGTCGTGCTACTATAACTTTAGATGCTGCTTCAGCGAAAAGAAAGATGCTTGTGGTGCATAAGTGTTAGAAGCGTTAAAAGGCAATATCGTTATCGAAAACGAGGCACAACTTTTGACAGAGTTCGGACGCCAACTTAACTTGGCACGTAGAGAACAAACACGCGGACTTGCGGGTCGGTTTTGGTATGGTACGTATCCACTGCTTGCAAAATGCGGTTTCGAGCTTCTGATAAAAACTTCATATGAAAGGATGCGGGTGAGGGAAGCGGATAAATAGGACCTTAAAACCGTTCCCTGGGAATATGTTTAATTTGCCGTATGGCGCGGAACTGAAGGTGTTGTATGTATCGGTAGCTGCTAGTCATCGTCAACGAGCAGGCACCTAAATATAATTCATATATAATAAAATTCATTGGATCGTTGGCAGGACCGGGCTCAGGTCGAGGCAGATGTTCCGAAGTCTATTTTGTCACTTATTTCTAGCCGCTCCGGAATGACTAAATTCATCATTTACCCCATCTGCTATTGGTAGTGTACAGTATCAATGTTAACGTTTCCATCTGTCTAATTTTAAAGCGATATTAAACAAACGTTTTTTTTTACTTTGGTTTGCCGCTGGTGTGTCATGCATCCGCCACTCAATCAATGAGTAAATATCTAGGGCACAGTTCCAGGACTCCCTGCTAAACTATACAAATTCCTTAGCAATCCTTTCATCGAAAGATAGCATAAATAGCACTGCTTTTGTCAGTACTACCCGAGGGAGAGCCGTTAGATAGGTGAACCCATACACTACCTTAGCAACACAACTGCTACAGCATCAGCTTCATGAAACGGGCAACTGCGAAGATGGACGGCTGTCCTGATGCAGCTGGTGAGGCAGACTGAGTAAACGCCGATTTCGAGAACGCTTATTTGCTGCAGAGCACGAAATTAATTTATGCAAGACGTGATTGGGTCGATCTGATCGTCGGTAGACCATGCATCACATGCATATTGTTACTGTTGCTATTTGCTCAGTAATCGCTTACTTGCACAGCCTAGCAATGTTGGATAGCATCTATGCACTTACCTAGATGCGTCGGTGTTTGTTGTTCTAAACGGCCGTTTTCTCCTCCGTGTTTATTGTTGCTAGTGAGCACGCGTCGCTTCAAGCCTGCGTACTGCTAATCTCAGCTGTTGTATTGTAGTCGAAGCGCTGTCTGTTATTGAAGATTTCTGTGACTGAATCTAACGAGTTATATCCCTTAGTCTTCACGAACAGTGATACGCGTAACCGCGCACACACACATACACAATCTTGCTGAACAAACAAAAAGCACCGAGATGATATCTGCGCGACTGGCCGCGCTCCAACGTATGTTATTTCTACTTCTGTTACGTAAAGCTCGACCAGGTGTTTGCTCGTGACCCGCACTGCGAAGTCTGTTATTGAAGCAAGGCTAAGCAATGCAGCTGGATCGGGCTAACGCACCTCGTTTGTTGCAACCTATGACTGCCCCGGAGTGTTCCGACCCACTCGTTTGCGCAGAGACCGCTCATCAAGTTAGCAGAACAACATGGCTACTGCCGTTGCTTTGTGCTGCTACCCCTGCTACAAACCAAAGCCAAATGCTTCGAGCACCAGCGGGAATCCTGTCGCCGGCGACTGGCGCAATGGACGGCAACTCTGTGCGCCCCCAACACTCACTTATCGTAACCTCTCACTACACAAGTTGTACGTGCTGTCACGTGGCAAGGCGAGGAAACGACTACTAGGACGGACCGTCTGGCGACAGGCACAGGATTTCGTGCTGGCGTACCCCGGTTGCTACCTCTGGCGCGCTCCCGAAACCGTCCGATAAGCAAAACAGGTGGATACGATGAGCAGCTTGCTGATGGTAAATGAGGCCCTATGCGAGAAAGGGTGGCCGAGGCGAGGGTTGGAATTGTCGGGAGAGGGTATCAACCTTCATACGATGAGGGCATGCCATGTGGTACAAGGTGATGCTTGGTGTCATTCTGTATAAGAAACGAGGGTTCCGTTCCTGGTAGGAAAGAGAAAGAGAATATTACGGAGGGCCTCAACTGCAAGCGGTTCCAACGTCGACGTCGACGTCGACGCCCTTCGTCTCCGAAGAGCCGAGTCGAGCCGAGACGACGAAGCAATGATCAGAGAAGCGTCTAGTGGCAAGAGCTTATCAGCCTGCCAAACAGGCTGGTAGGTCTGAACAAGCAAAACAGTTAGGTTAGGTTTACTCGTAAGGCAAGCCGATCCAAACCTATACTAGGTTTAAGCTGGTTAAAGAAGGCAAAGCAAAGCGGTCTAGGGAAACATATAATTCGGCACCAGCAGCTAATGTACATATAGTTCAATTCCATTTAGAGAGGAACCTCATTAGGTTCCTAGATAACGAACCGGATCGTGTTGGGCGAGCGCCGTGGTTTGTCGAGCGCGTCATTGATTTTATCGCTTCATAGAGTAATTCATCGATTCGGGAATTTTCCGACGAATACACTTGTCCGTTCCTTCTCCACACACTGATCAGCCTATTCAGTCAAGATAAATATGTCCGTCTCGAACCGTTGCCATGCTTACCGCTTCCGATGATCCAACGCCGTGAGATGAATGTGTATGGCATTCTAACTCGCTGAATACGACGAAGCTGGTAAGCGGATGAAGAAGTACGGCAATGGGACGAGAAACCAAGAAACCTGATGAACCTCTGCAGCACCTTGGTGTGATTCTGCAGCGCTATGCTGTTGGTTAACTTAGGTCTCGAAGCATTAGGCGTAGATGCAGTACGTGAATTGACACACGACCAGCCATAAAGTTCTCGACTAACATCGGTACATGCTGCGAAGCAAGTTCTGCACTGCCGATCGGTTGTTTCTGCTAAAACGTTATCATAGCGCCTAAGTGTACCTATTCGGTCGGTTATTCCCATTAGGCTGCTGCGCAGAGCAAAGGGTAAGCCCGGACTATTTACACTGCGACTAGTCAATGAGTCTGTTGAAATTCATATTGCATGCATAATAGCTGCAAACATTCAAAGATGTCATTAAAAAAAATGTAACAATAATGTTCAATCGAAGTAAGTGATTATTACGATACAAGACAATTATAGTAGTTCAGGATAGGAAGAACTGATAAGTTGGACATATAGAATATACTAACAGACATATGAAGGCGTTAAAGATATATAGATCGACAGTTTTGTAAAACGGTCTAAGTTACAGCCCGCAGAGAACAAGCGTTATCAATCCTCAAGCGCGGTGAGGGTAGCGTCTTCAACCTTAAACAATAGTTTTTCCACGACTTGCAAGAGACATAGGCTCATCAATTCGTCAGCTCCGCTTTACCTGCCAACCCAGTTAATAATGCCCCCTAATCGCTTGACGGCCATTATCCAGCCTGACTTGAAGCCTCTTACCATTGACCTCTATTTGATTTTGCTTTCCACAAGGCCTCCTTTCTACTAACTGAGTTCATTTCTACAGTTTGTTAACACCTAAAAGTAAAGAGAAACGAGAAGCAAAGCCTGTCATGCAATGAGTATGGAACAAAAAACGGCAGACAAATTCAATACGTGCAACTTAAAAATTCGCAAGCCATTGCCTTGCACCGTTACTATGGGTGCCGCTGCAACATAAGCCCAGAACGAACATGGGGGGCAAACACCGGCTTTAGTAACACTCTCTCTTCTTTCGTTCGCTGATGGTTTTCCCTCTCTCCCTCCCCCCTCTCTCGGTGACCACCTTCCTTTTTCTATTGCCGTTACCGCTGTTTCCGACTTCTATGCCGGTCTCGTCTGTATTGCCAAAATACCAGCATTGTGCTTTTTCTCGCCATTTTTCATGGCGTTTCGTTCGTTAGCGCGTGCTTCTACTTTACCTCGTACTGTTTTTGTTTCGCATGTGACTCTCACAGTACCCGACTAGGTTATGCTGCTAGACCTGCCTACATTCAGTTATCAAATTGTCGCAGGTTGGGATGCTCCCGTAGGCCAAGTAACTTCCGCGACTACTGGTACACAGTCACGACCCACCTATCTTCCCGTAGCGTCTTCACCGCGACGACCGTTTGGTAGCCTTTTAAAGGGGAGCAGCAGCTACTTAGCAAACAGTTACCAGGGGACAAAGCAGAACCCAGCAGGTACAACGACATGTCGCACGTCTCTTTAAATGGGCTGCGTAGTCGTCGTCGACGTTGATGCTGTAATTATGCTACTGGCGCTGCTATTACCGTCTAAGACATTATTCCGCTGCGCTTCTATTGCCGTTCTGAGTCATTTTTCTGCTGCCCCTGTGCCCTGGCGCGGCTGTTGCTTTTTTCCCGCTCATCCGTCTACTCAGCCTTGCGTCATTCTGCCCCCTTCGGCTAACAGAGAACGATCACACCTTACGCTGTTGCTTTTTCCGTACTTATACCATCGTCATCTTATGAGCATTACTGCTGCTTCTTAATGCTCTGCTCACAACCGAAAGACGGCCGAGATGTCGATCACTCGAATCCCTAACCGCTACCCTGAACCCCGCTTAACGTGCCCCATTACAGCCTATGTTCATCTTACTCCACTAGGCCTAGTAGGACGACCAGACATACTGGCTGCCTTCTTGTTCAAGACGCAGTCCCTCCCCCGTTCGATAGTCCTACCCTCCTCTATTGTCCCCTTTCTCACACTCTCACAACCTAGTCCGTTGGTAGCCGCAGACCAACTCGACGCTCTGCGTCCTGGTTTCACTAGTTCTGTCTGCTACAAAGTTGGCGGCATCAGTGGCAGCCACTGGCCGTTGTTGCCGCTGCTATCCCCTGCAGCCTTTAAGCCTTTGCGCAAGCCGTCTGCGCGTTGCCGCTGCGGACATAGTCACCAGCCTACCTAACTTACGGCGGGGCGCGTGGATTACGTAGTTCTACAGGGTTTGCCTGCAAACTGGCCACCTTTCTCCTCCTCTCTTCCAAACACCCAACCGAGGCTTGTGGTGGTCACTGCGCTCGCAGATCGGCTGGAGCGGACACGGCCTAGGAAAAACGTTCAAGCGAGGCCGAGCTAACGGAATAAAAGTCCTGCTAACTAGTGCACAGCATTGAACAGAAACGCATGCAAACTTACTGACTCTGACCAACTGAGCAGCTTTTTAGCCTCTTGCAATACGGTCCTGCACTGTCCTGCCTGCAGTCACAGCCAAAGGCCGTCGAAAGCGTAAAAGCCCGTTCGCTCAGAGAACTTACGCTAGTCGTCAATCGTCAATTTGCCAGCAGGTCAGAGAGTTAGACACTCAGAGAACAGCTTCGTGAAGGCGATTCGTAGTTGTTTTTTAAAGATTATAATAGTATATAATGGGTCTTAGTTCAGTGCAGTGATAAATGACTAATGAATATAACAACTTTAAGGGATTAAATAGCCTGGCTATTTGAGCAGTTGAAGCGTCCTGTAATCCATTAGATATTGCTAAACAAAAGGGTGCTGTAGCGAGCAAAAAGACCAAGTAAATATGCTTTGATAAAAAAGAAATGCGGATTGATAAATTTTAAAACACTAATTAAAAAAAAATAGGTGTTTTTTATTCTACTGGCGCTGCTATTGCCGTCTAAGACATTATTTCGCCGTGCTTCTATTGCCGTTTCTGAGTCATTTTTCTAGAGTTTTGTCGACACAAAGCAATTCCACCGTTGTAACCCTCGTATTGTAAGCATCCAGATATTTACATCTTAGCCGCGAACCGCAAAAGCCACGAATAGATTAGCCATACCAAATGGTGCACTTCCAGATAATAAATGTTACGAATGTCATGTTTGAATATATACGACTGAGCACAAGCACGAAGCACGAGTGTTTATTCCAAGCCAGACACGTTTGTGAAGTCAGCAAATGACTGACTGAGTCGTTCCATCATTGAACCACTGTTCCAAACAATTGCTATAGAATCACAGTACGCAATGCTTGTAAGTGTCCCTGTGCCGTCGCTAGCATATCGTTAACGTTTTAGCTTACATGTTTGCATAGAAGTTTGTCATAACCGCCATATTAATTTTTTTCGCAAATCAACAAAAGCATGAGTCGCACATAAAATCCTTAATATGGAGATATTTGAACGTGCACAAGCGTATGTGATTTCCTATATTATGTGCCTTTAGTATGTTTAGGTTACTCTCTGGCGTTCCACTCATGCCCACTTTAGAGGAATAGTGTGTTGAGTTCGAGATAGAAAAATCGTGACAAAATGGGTTCTGGATTCGAACGCGCGACGTACCTTTGTTACAGCACGGTTAATGTCTCATTCGTACCCTTGATAGGAGTTGTCTATAAATTCAATCGATTTTATCTTGGCGTAAAACAAGTGCCAGAGCTGACCTAGGCAGTTGAATCGTTTTAGTAGAAGTAGTGCAGGTCGTCGCTTACATGTACACTAGTTTACTTTTTTGGAAGGATACCGCGTTGGTCAAAGAATCACAAATGGGCAGAATGGTTCGAACAGCGGGAAAACAGTCATGATTCAAAAAAGGCAATTCAACACAAGGTAGAAGAAACCAAAGGTGCCATAGAGTCCGTGTCAGAAGTCATTAACGTATACGAAGTCTAATTTACTATGCGTTTCTGAGTATTTTATATTGAAATATATAAATAAACCTATTTCACTTGCCCTCGTAAGTTGCATAGTCCATTTTACGCGCTACGTGTAACTATAATGTTAATATTATAAGTGCAGAAGCTTACGTAGAACAATTCAACTACTGCACTTTTTAGCTGTGGCGGAGTCTCCTACAACCCAACATGTTAGTCGTTAGATTCAAATGTGCCGGATAATTTGTTACGCCAAAAATCTCCTGGAAA